TCACTCTAATTTGAAAAATCGTGAGGGATCAAAAGCTATTCAAGAATTAGAGAAAGTCAAACCTGGAATCTAAATAAAACGATGCGGTCGCTTCCTAAGAGGCACCTCTTGTGAGGGTTTGGCTGAACGTCTCCTATTTGTATACAAGACCTAAGCTATGACTTTTAATTCGAAATAAAGTTTGTTTGATGAGTTAGATGCGGGGAAAAAATTCTCGACAGAAACCTTTTGTCACTGGGAGTACCGGAGTAAATGTTACCTCGATAAATTGTGTAAAAAACTTGACATTGATAACAATGAACTTTCCTTTCTTATTTGAAACCGATAATGTCACAGTGAATGACATCAAAATAGATATTATGTGTAATGGAAGCAATCCATTAGACGCCTTTATTTAGCACCAAATTATTTACCATATATTAGTATCTGTATATCTTGAAAAAAAACACTACTAACAATCAAGCAAGAAGAGACATATTCGTAAACTTTATAAACTTATGTAACATAACGAAATACTTCTAAATATTTTAATAAAATTTACTGTAAAAATTACCAAAACATGAGATCATTAATTAATGTGTGTTCATAGAATTATTGATTCACAAACAGGTATTTGTAATAGCTAATTTAAATGATTTGGCTCTCGAAATTAAAAAATTGTTTGTACCCAAATATTTCATTCAAAATTAGAGTGAAAATAACACTGCTCAAGCGATCTTCATAAAATATACGTTCAAGAAACGTGTTTGCAATGATATTTTACAAGATTCTGACTGCTGAATCATTAATGATTTATCGCATGGCTACGAGTAAGTCCAATGTTCTAACACCAGCAATATATTCATACTAACTACACTTTCGGTTCCTCTACTTATATACGCTTGGTGCTATTATTATGAGTATGATAATAATAATCAAATCAAAAAAATCAAATATAATTTGCAAAGCTGCCTCGATACTGACTACTTTTAATCCGTCAGCTGAAGCACGTGTATGAGAAGTCTTCAGATAGAGGTTCTATGCCGTTACATCCAATTCAAATAAAAGTTTAGAGGTTCAATGCCGTTATCCCAAACTCACATAAAAGTAGTGTTAGATTTTGCTCTGATTTATTTTACATGTCCTATTGTTGAACATTGCTTAGGCATAACGAATATCGATTTTAATTGATGGCGTTGCATTGGAGGCTTGGATATCTTGGACCGGATTTAAATCTGGATACAACTCTGGATTAAAGTATATCCATTTCTTCAATCTTTGGCTATGGTTAATATCCTTTTGTAATAAATACACTTGTAAAATATTCACATAATAACGAGTTCTGCTCGGCAAATCGTTGTGTTCGTAAACGTTGTTTCCAGCACTCGTTTTTCGGTGAAATCGAAGCTCTTTATAGAATGTACGAGGTGAAGATGCGCATCTAAATTTACACTTAACTATAATCTTAGCTCAAAGACAAAGCAATACTAGGCTTGTAGCTTATGACCGTGCTTCCTACTTTTTATTCACTACTTTGACTAAGATACAAACATTAGTTTCCTTCATTCCACTATTTACTTTATTGTACTATATGATGGCAGTGATAGATTGTCCTTGCTCTGTGCGCCAGTTTCTGTGGTCAGAATCGGCAAGGAGGCCGGGCGGTTAAGCAAGGCAAAAATTGAAGCAGCGAGTTGCGAGTTCGAGACTTGCACCAAGCTGTGGATGTTCTGCGATGTTAAGAATCGTCGACAGGCCTATGGCCTAATAAACGCTGAAACCGCTATTATTATAACACTCATAAAATTGTGTTTTTCAGCTACGCATCGGCTCGGCGCACTGTGATTAACTCCAATAACACCAAAGTTACATCATTATTCAAGTGAAGAGACTCCAATGGGAACGATGCCTACAATAAAAAGAAAACAAAATTGAAATAATATAAAAAACAGTATTGAATTATTTTGTATTAATCGAACATGGCAAAATGTTTACGAATGTTTGTGTCTAGAAAAAAACTACTATCTGCTACAAGAACCATTCATGTTTCACATAAACATCTATAAGATAATTTTTGTCAATGTTAAGTAGTATATCTTTCACTATTTTTGTTTTGTAACTAAAGAAAATAACTCAAATCGCAAAATTTACCGCAACGTTGAATAAACGCTTTATTATCACCTTCAGAAATTTTAATTGACGTTTTTAATGACGCATTCAAATATGCGTCATTAAATAAATGACATTAATGTTGATCATTTTTAATGACGCATAAATGATCAACATTTATATCTGATATACAAACGCAGCCACGATATCATTGATAATACAACTCATGATTAGCAAATACCTTCAGGAATCGGTGTCTTTTTTTTTACTCAATATACGGTTTCATAGTTTCAGCTGCAACTAAAAAATCGAACATTTCGTTGCCTCTGAAGCGTACTGTCTTATGATATTCTATTTAAAAAAAGATATCTGTTGTATTTGTCAAATTCTAAGTAGCAATATTAAAAGTCTGATATGGTACTATTATTAAAAATAGCATTAGAAGCACTAATATCTACTACTAAACCTCTGACTAGCAGAATGTAAACCCCAGCATCAATAGACCTTTTTCTGTTCAATATAATCGCATGCATTATATTACATAGGCAATAATAGCATGCACAAATAAAATTCCTAGCGACACAACACCAGCTCCAACATATTGACTGGATTGCCCATTTGTCTGACTCCTCTAAAAGACGGAGGCAAAATTCACATAAGTGTTAATGTAAAATACACAAATGTAAGGTTTGAAATGATTTTTCATTGACTCCACTCCTCCTACAATACCGGAAAAATATATATAATGTGATATTAAATTCGTTACTTGTACTATAAAATCTATCTTGAAATTAATTGTTTATATAAATAAGTTGAGACAAATATTCACCACTACGTCTTGGAAGAATGTAGCTTGTGATGCGTATATGTACTGTACCTCTTCCACTTAACACCATACCACTTAAAATTCCACTTTACACGATTCAAACTCTAGACATCATGATTCATTCCTTATTATTCAAACGTCAGTCTCTGAACAATGGTAGATAGATAACGCAATAATTCAAGATAAAAACAACAATCGTCAACAAGCTACAAATGTCAATAATAACAGTAGTTACGCAACGATGAACCAAAACCTTCATGATAGGGTTTTTCGGAACCGCTGATACAGGCGATCTCATCAGGTAACTGTCGTCTTCTAATCAGTTTCGCGTACTGGGGTAATTCGTATATTCGAGGTAGTACCAATAATAAGGTGTCTTTCAGGTACCATTAGTACCAGTAACGACTGTACGTATATGGCAGGTTGGCTGTCCAGGAATAGTCAGGATACGGTGAGCGCAGACGAGCGAGCCTGTACCTGAGGTCGCTTCTCCAGTGTCGCCGAGGAGGTCTGCAAGGAAACCTCAGGCTCGTGAAGCGGTATGCAGGTTTAACTTCAGTCATCAATCACGTAAATTAACAATATAATAGCAAATATTAAAAATGTTTTATATTCATTCATAAACAAATTTATACAACTATGAGCAGCTCGCAAGATATAATTTATTCAGAAGCTGCAACACATGTCTGCAGCCATCGTCAATGCGTTCTATACTTTACAAGAATTCATTGATGATAAGGATTGGAGACAATTATTCCCACCCATAAAATACAAGCCAGGGATGTCAATCTACTTCATGTCAGTTGAAATCGGTAGTTTAACTTCTTCAACAATCACTCAGCCAGATTCCAAATTTTTTCTGATGTTTAGAAGTCACTCTAAGTTGAGAGCCGTAAAAAGTCATCAAATCAAAAAAAAAAAAAGAAAGTCAAGAAAAACAAAAGTCAAATGTCAAAAAATCTTGATGACTATTGTGCTCAGTCTTGCGTTCTCTATAATTTAATGCAGATATCACTGCCTCTAATATATTGCACTCATCATTTTAGAGTAACAACACACGCATGATCAATTAATCACCGGTGTCGCCATCACATGATCAATTAATCACCAGTGTCGCCATCACGATTATTTTTCTGCCACACCCCTTAATTGTGATCATTGTCACAATTGTGATGACGACTCACCCTCTCGATGCCGCTATGTCACAGCAGAAGCAGCAGCACTCATCAACGTCGTCATCGTAGTCCCGGTCGTAGTCATGATAGTGACGGTAGAGGCCTGTGTAACGCGGCCGTCCCGATCCCATCGTTGTCCTGGCGATAAAAGAAACTTTCGCCCAATGAGTCAAAGAGTCATGGGGCTCAGTTTCAGCTGAATTATTCACTGCTACTAGCTTGAAGTGATCAAATGACTGCATGCCTAATTATTTTGTTTGAGATAATAGCACCCTGATATTTCTAGTAAATTTCTATCTATTGACGGGAACTTGGCCTGCATAATTAATATCGTATGCTGGTATAGTAGTTAACGGAACACTGATCTGAGTTTTTACCTTTGTTCTGGACTGAACCAAACTCTCATCAATCCATATAACTTCGTTAAATATTAAAGAATCCTGAACTGCCTCATCAATTTGGGTTGAGATGACTGAACCAAGGACGTCTAATTTTTCCTGTGCGAGGTGATACATCCATGTTTGTGGTGAAGGAACTCTGACCTGTCAAGAACCCCTGCCGCTCCTGAAGAAGGTGAAGCCGCCCGGGTTCTTCGCTGTTGCTGGCGGTCGAGTCCTTCTTCCGCCCCGTATCCTTCGTCTTCAGCGCTGCCGTCCTCTGCTCTCTCCTCCTCTTCCTGCCGCAGCTGCTCGGGGCGCTCGTTGGTAGACGGCGGGCGGTGGTCACTTGGAGGTGCGGATGATGGTCGTGGTGGACGCAGCCGCCGAGGCTCCAAATCTGACACAAACATATGGTATAATTCGCTGTGGCATGTGAATTCAACAGCACAAATGTCAATTTTTCCCTGATCCTACTAGCGGGACACTAACGATTTGTGATCTATGTTCGATTTAGTTTTTGTACAACGCTCTTTAAGTAACTATTTCGCACACACTTACATTCGTTGTATAATCATAAACCTAATAATTGTGATATTATCCAAATGAATATTGTATATTTTTTCCTCACCATCAGCCAGGTAGCGGCGCCTGACCCGTGCTCGCGCGGTGCCGGGCTGGGGAGGCTGGCGCAGGACGCGGCGCGGGTGCGGTGACCGCGCAGAGTCAGGGTAGAGTCGCCGGTACGCGCGGCACGTGGTGCAAGAAAGCACGCTGTGGGCGCCGGCGCAGTGCTGGCACGCGTCTGCCAACAAAAGGCGACGCAGCTTGTCAATGCTTGGCAATTTTGACAAATTTTATGAGATTCTTTGTATGTGTTCGAGATTAATTTCTATCAAAATAAAATATTTTTTTAATTCGATATCAACTTTACTATTGCTGCCACAATATGACTTTACTGCTGTCACAGCATAACATAATAACATAATGATGATGTCGGCGCTGAAATGTAGGCCTGATGTGGCCTGTCGCCGATTCTTTTCCTTTTCGTGCCTTGTTCATAGATCTAAACTCGTATCATTTGATCGGATCTTTTCATGACTGGCGAAAATGCATCCACTGGCTCCCTTTCGTCCAGCAGGCGAGTCCAATCGTTCAACGTAGATAATAAGTTAGTGGTGCAGGATCTGCCGGTAATAAAACCATGTTGACAATCTGATATGAGATGGTGAGCAGTCAAGTGATCGATAATCCTATCCCTCACAACAGATTCCATCAGCATGGCTGCTGTCAGAATAACTCTGCAACTCAATTTCCGTTAGCCCTTTAAAAACCACACTTTACGATCCCCATAAAAGGCTGTAAGGAAATATACATGAAAGCTAAAATATTGCTTTGAGTTCAAGTTCTATTGTAAACCATTATGCAATTAGTTGACTATTTATAGAGCTCCGTTTCGTGAGTTTGCATGATTCTATCAATAAAAATAAAATATAAAGTCCCGGTTACAATAGTTATGATAGTTAGTGCACTCAGACAATCGAATAATCTAAATAAATGTGCAGTGCCAGGCTTCATACGCACATACACAGACTCAAACCTCCCATAATACTTTAACAATGAGTATAAAGCATTAACTCCAATAGTTATGATAGTTAGTGCACTCTGGCACTCGAATCTCAATAAATTTGCAGTGTTAGGCTTTATACGCACATACCGGTACACAGACACAAACTCCCCATAATTCTTTACAAATGAGTATGGCGCATTAACTCCACACTCATCAAATGAGTATGGCGCATTAACTCCATACTCATCAAATGAGTACTCATCATCAAATGAGTACTCATCATCAAATGAGTACTCATCATCAAATGAGTACTCATCATCAAATGAGTACTCATCATCAAATGAGTATGGCGCATTAACTCCATGCTCACTAACCATCGTCCAGCACAGTGATGGTCGCGTCGTGCGCGTCATCGAGGCGAGCGAGGCGAGCGTTCGTGCGCGTCCCGGAATTGGGACGAGAACCCCCGTATCTGTGATACAACGGAGAAAATGAAGCGCCGAGAATAAATTTTTATATTAAAGTTAAATTAACTGGAAATTTATTTCATAACATTGAGGAGAACTTTATAACACCGTTGAACTTTATGTAATGATATATTCAAGTAGCACGAATATTATTCGAGGACAGTTAACTAATCTTATAAAGGACGATTGAAGGTTGGATCGTGATGCAAATTACAAATAGAGATATTGTTCTCCGAATTTTTTCTTACCTGCTTGCAAGTTGACCGTACTGGATGTCCGTCAAGTTACCTTCGCTCCTGGACCGGTGGCGGCTGGTCAGTCCTGCAGTTCTAGCGCTGAGAAAATCATTTACATTTCAATAATTATAGCTCTTGAACCAGCAGAAGCGTTCCTAACAAAAGCGTTTTCGTTGGATGTAATCCAAATAACTCTATTACAAATTTTTGGGATCACTCTAAAAATAGGAAAAATGTGGTTAATGTGCTAAGAACCGTAGAGGTTTTAAAATAAAGCCAATATATCTGTGCATTAAAATATGCAGCGTAGATCTAACGTAGATCTCACAAATAAAATAGAGCGGATCGATGTTTGATCCAGTTTCAAGCTGTCTAGCGATTTCAACGTCAATATTCCATTATCTCAATTGAAATACGATTTAAGTAATCAATAATTGTGCCTATATAAAATGATTTGCAAGCCTCTAACGATCTTAATGATTCCTTCCAGTATGTCCAGGTTCATTTTTATCTCTCAGAACGACCTTTAAATCTTCTGAGACATTAATAAAAATTTATTTATTTAATGTAATTGAATTACACGGATGTTGGAATTAACACCAACATAATGGATAATAGCTTTTCGAAGAAAAATTTTCAGTGTGCCTCAATGTATTCCTAATTTTATTCGTACGACCGATTTAGTATCTCATTTAAAGCAGGCAAATGTGTAAGAGTTAAGACAATTTTAATTACTTGTACAATCTCATTTCAGGACGCGAAATAAATACGAGTTTTGACTAATTTAATCTCAACCTTATTTCAGGAGGAAAAATAGATACGAGTTAAGACTAATTTTATGTCAACCTTATTTTAGGGCGCCAAATATATATATGAGTTATGAGTCATGACTAATTTAATCTCAACCTTATTTCATGAAGACATATATATACGAGTTAAGGCAAATACGGTCCCTTAAACAACTTGTAATATTTATCGATGAGCCGATTAGCCTTTTGGTTATTCACCTCTTCGGGGTAGCTGGTGAATCAGACGCTGCGGGTAGGCGACGCGCGGCGCGAGACTCGGAATTTCCTCCTCTTTGTTGATCTGAAAGCAAAAATAAGATTCGATAAAGTACGGAGCTTGATTTGTTGCAGAATGAGTGGACTAAATTGGGTTGAACTTCACATTTGTGATAGTTATTTCTTAATATTTCTGATTATAATTACACTTATGAACTAACTTGTAATTTCAAAATTTGACCACACAATACGAGTACATATTCCAAGTAAGTTTTTGCAGCAAATATGACCTATTTGAGCATCTGCTGGCAGCTCAGCGTCGTCTGCCGCAGTCACGGCCTTGTAAACTGCCTGAAATAGTCATTGATAATATAGAATTGAAAATAATGAATACATGAGACGTTCACGCAATTATCAGTGAATAATATTAATATTTTCCAACAGTCCCTTGTATTCCAATGCAAATGCGTGATGAATACAAAACCTACCAAAAAATTCCGAATTGAGATTCGAGATTGAGGTTCAATGAGGTAAGAGGTGACCTTATATTGGTGTTTGATGCTTGTAAGAACGCAAAGACATGGAAATAGGTGATGTTTATCAGGCAAAATTTTAAACGAGCCCTAAAATTGTCTCTTAAGTGTGAGAGAATAAAAGGTCGATCAGAGGTGAGTTGCATATGAAAACTATAATTTTGGATTTTTTAATGCTTAATCGGAGGTTTTCATCATCTTCTAGAGCTAATCTGTTTGAGTTTTCCAGTAAAAGTATACAATGTCTTCGTTCAGCGAACATTAATTGAAGTGCAATATCATCTGAACAGCAACGCGACTCCAGATTGTACTCTATAAAAAGTATTGCTGCAGCTGTTATTAGAAAAGTTTTTTTTTTAATTTTAACTACTGCTAATTTTTTCGCCTCCAATCGAATTTTTGAGATTTTTATCGTCGTCTAGCATCACCTGTTTTGTACATATGTGAGAGGAGTAGGTAAGCATCAAATCAACGTTATTCTTCCTAATTAAGTGCTTGAATTGCTGAAAATCCGCTTCAGATTTATAGTGAAGCTTTCACTGCTTTATCATAAGTCTGCCTTCAACTTTGTATCTCCGCCGCTGCAATAATTAATCGAGAATTTAAAAGCAAAGAATAGTCCACAAAAATTCATATCTTTATAGAAAACGTTTCGGAGACCAGCTCCATCGCCTGTTCGTAGAATATAGTATCACAAATTAGAAGTAAAAAATTAATAAATTGAAAGCACATAACAAAATAAAAAAGCTAAATTTACAAATAATAGACGTAGCAAAAAAATATCTGTTCACAATTTCAAAGGGATATGAGCTAACAGTGGAATTCAAACTGGGCCTAAGTTTAAAGATGTACAACGATTCTAAAATGCGCAAATCTGAAGTACTAGAGGTGGAAGCTAACACTCTAAAGTCACTGTCAGAAACAGGGACATCACACTGCCCGGCGTGAGTGCGCACAGCCGAATGAGGTGGGCGCGATAGCAACTGTCCGGTTCTACAACTCCTGCCCATATGCTCGGCGACCGTGGAATAAAGATTGCGGGACGTCATCCCGACGCAAGCAGATGCACATCGTGCACAACAATATTGATAAACCAGGGACGATCGCGTATGAACAGGGAGCATATCTTTATATCTAAAGAAAGAATCGATTATGAAATTGTTTACCAGCACAATATGAGGATAGACATTTGGGAAGTATCTATTGAACAAGACTTTTAATTCTCTTGACATAGCTTTGGACGCAGGGCCGAAGTATGGAAAAAACAATAAATAACTTTCCTACTATCGCTCTGAGGAGCAACCTCACTGTATCGCTTCGACATGAATTTCTTGATTTGGGTAAACACCAAACTTACCGGAAATCCATTAAGCGAGAAAATATTGCGTAAAAACTCAAATTCAGCGTGCATAGCAAGGTATGTAGAACAAATGCGAAAACCTCGGTGTAATAAAGTTTGAAGGCCATTCAACTTAAATCGAAACGAACAAAAACTAAAAAAACTGGTACTTAGACCAGAGAAAGCGATAGTAGGAAAGTTATTTATTGTTTTTCCATATTTCGGCCCTGCGTCCGAAGCTATGTCAAAAGAATTAAAAGTCATGTTCAATAGATACTTCCCAAATGTCAATCTTCATATTGTGCTGGTAAACAATTCCACAATCGGTTCCTTCTTTAGATATAAAGATATGCTCCCTGTTCATTTGCGATCGTCCCTGGTTTATCAATATTGTTGTGCACGATGGGCATCTGCGTGCGTCGGGATGCAACGTCACGCAATCTTTGTTCCAGGGTCGCTGAGCATAAGGGCAGGGGTTGTAGAACCGGACAGTTGCTATCGCGCCCCCCTCTTCGGCTTTGCGCGCTCACGCCGAGCAGTGTGATGTCCCTGTTTCTGACAGTGACTTTAGGATATTCGCTTCCACCTCCGGCACATCAGATTTGCGTATTTTAGAATCATTGTACATCTTTAAACTTAGGCCCAGTTTGAATTAAACTGTTAGCTCCTATCCCCTTGAAATTGCGAATAGATAGTTTTTTATGCTCCGTCTATTATTTGCAAATTTAGGTTTTTAATTTCTTTCTGTGCTTTCAATGTATTAATTTGTGACTTCTAATTTGTGATTCTAGATCCTACGAATTGACGATGGAGCTGGTCTTCGAAACGCTTGCTATAAAGATATGAATTTTTGTGGACTATTCTTTGCTTTTAAATTACTAGTTAATTTGCGATTTAAGCAAACAAGTCACATCTATTATTTAAAAATTAATTGCATTTATCCACACAGTTCACTATAGTGATTCTGCTCACTCTTGTAGCGCGGTCGCTGCTGTGCCCAAAGCTCACGTTGTCGGTCTCGCAGTCGTGCATCGGTGATCTCGTCTCGCTCACCGTTGATCGGGTTGACACCTCCACTTTAGGCGAGATGATGCCCTGTCAGATGGTAAATAATATAAAAGCTTGGAATTTAGAATGTTATTGCCTAGAATGCTAGTTATTTTTAAGTACAATATTTTCGTATGTTTTAACCTGAGTCAACATCGACTGCTACTTGTCGGCCATGACACCTTCCATCTTGTTTACATAAATTGAACTTAACTCCACAATCGTATTCCTTATGTTCAAAGTTTTCTTAATTTAATGGGGAAATTAGTTAAGTATCACATTGAAAATTAACAGATAATTGGTGGACATTTAGAACATTATTACCCTATTTATTTTTTGTATGTATTTTCCGTGACGAGCAATTTATTTTCACGGTAAAATTTCCAAATTCCCTCGAACCTTGCCTTCACTTAAATTAAGAAGTTCATGTCAAAGCGATATTCTCAATTTGCTCATGGGGTTTATATTAGGAAAATTATTCGTTACACTCCATCACACTTTGGTTCAGCTTCTAGAACTATATAAATAATTTTAAAAATTGTTTAAAAATTTTCTGAATTTTTGCTTGCATCTATTGTTGGTCAATAATTTCAGAATGGGTCCCTTCTTCAGATGTAAGGATGTTATTCGTACCCAGACACAGTCTTCTCTGGCTTTCGCTCTCAGATTGCGCGCATTGTGCAATGATGTACGGTAAGGACTGATCTTTCTGATCCCTTGTTTAAAATGCGGGGCTTAAACGTAAAATACCCACCTTTCTCTCTCTGCACAAAGGGCCATGAGTCAATATACCTTATGAGGTATACTAATATTACATATTGAGATACTTATACCTTATTTTATGAGGCATATCAATATTACATATTGATATACTTATACCTCCGATATATATTATAACTCAAACCCACTCCTGAATGGGTCAATAGTCTGCACAATGAACACCCCACTCACCGGGAAGTCCCTGGTAGGTTCCATGAGGAGGTCCAAGTCCATGCCAGAGTACGAGAGACGTCTCTTGGTCGCAGGGAAGAGCAGCTCGCGCACGGAGCACTCGAACACCGCCAGCACCGCCTCGTCCTCTCCCTCCTGCACGAGTTCCAGGTACGCTGTCTCCCGCTCCAGCGCCGTCTCCAGCGCACCGAGGGCACGCACGCCCAAAAACGTCTGGTGGCAAAGTCCAGGTTTGACTTCATTCATTATTGATTAGAAAAATCTTTCCTCTTAGCGATTTTCTTCGCTGTTCATAGCATAGTTTGCAAGGGCAAAGACAATGAATTATATGAATATATTATTTTGCATGCAGAAAATTACCAACATCTTCTGCCTGTTGTATTTTGAGAGACGTTTCATTTAGGTTATTGCACAAATAAGCGTGCACCGCTAGTAAAGGACGTTTAAAGGTACAAGCATGTCTAATGACTCGTCCAAGGCGATAAATAATTATTCCCATGCTAATTTTGAGAGACAAAACCGTCGTCTCACTACTATACGAATATGAGAGATGCAACATCAGGTGAGACGACAAAGTTCAACTCATTTCTCGTAAGTATATCTTTTGGGAAATTCTTTCTAGCCGCAGAAGGCGTTACACGGCCCTAACTTGATGTCTTTGAAACTTCATGGAAGAATGATTAAACTTGCTTGCAGAAAAGCCATCTAACCTTTTGGATGCGAAATACACTCTTGCGTAATGAAATTTAGTGTCTCAAAATATTGGACATGCTGATCTAGTGAAAGAGGAGTCTCAAATTCATTATTAGAGCAGAGCAGCACATTCTATATTAGAGAAGCACATTCATAATTGAAAGCAGAAAATGCTCCAATTGAATGTACAAACGTACTTCCAAGAAACTGAAATCTAATTAAAAGAGGTCGAAGCCTTAACATTGGTTATGAAGACTCACACGCTGGAAGCGGAACTTCTCATGGAAGAGGAGCGGGAATACAGGTGCTTGGAAGTTAGTCCGAGTGTGGAAGCCGAGGAGACAAAGAGACAACGAACAGCGCCCCTTACCCGGCAGCCATACACCGGGGCACGAAACCTGACAATTTGTGGATACAATCAAGTCTTTGTGCTAAATTAAACTCACGTTGAAATGAAATTATTTGGGATTAAATTACGAAAGAATTAAAGATTATGTCTGTTAAATTGTTGTATGGATAGTTACGCGGGTAAATTTCGGATTTTTGACCAGCGGTTTATATATCGAGCTAAAGTTGATCTTCAAATACATCAAGTTCTTTAACCACAGCTTTTGCATAGGCAACTTGTGCAATATAATATTACAAAATTTTGAAACCATTAACTACCTCGAACATCATGTATTAACCATTAAGATCGTCGGTGCAAGGTGAAATGGAGATCGCAAGTTTAATTTTTTAAACAAATTAACAATTTTGAAGCAACGAAAATGCCGAGTAAATTCAATATAACTTTAATGAAAAGTTTCATTTTGCAGTGGTGAAAAAGTAAAAATTTATAGATCTTCGACTACAGGATTTACCTAAATGAAGGATAATAATCATAAGTAGATAGTTTTTATGTAATTTCTTGAGTTATTTCAATTGCTTTACTGATATAAGCAATTTAAACTTACGGCGTGGACGTTCACTTCAGCACTCAGTTGCAGTGCTTTGTTGAGTTCGACGGGCATATTGGTTGCCGGAGAAGCGCAGAAATATTCGTGTCTTAAATTGTTACTAACCAAAGCAGTCTAGATGGACTCAAAATATTTGAAGATGCGGTTAGCGTTCAATCATTGACATTAGATGACTTATTCTAATGAGCAATTTCAATACGATCATCCGTGTCGAGTTGCAGACAAGATATGGACGGGGAAATTTTTCTGTAAGCGTAGCTATCGGTCCTGAAGATAAGCTTGGTATTAAAGAAATGTACAGGGATCAAATGAAAATTTTATTTTGATAAAAACTCGTAGATACAAAATTACCGTCATGATGAAATAAAGCTTAGGCCCCTTAGTAAAATAAATTGTTTTTAAACTAAAATGTTTTTTAAATGACGGAAAATAATTCCCCTCTGCTCAAAATAGTGTCGCAGAAAACAGCGATGAGATAATTTGCGCTTTCAAAGGGTAAGTATAAATCATTTAATAATCCAAATATGTATGTGTCGTGACAATTGGCCGCACTATATTTGAGAAGTAATTACATGTACTAATAATTATTCACATTAAACATTTAAATTGAAAATATATCAGAGCTGCTTAATCAATCATTTAATTCGCACGAATGATGTAGTGAAACACAGTCAAATAAAATTTCGATATTTATTTATAATTTGTCCACCATATCAGAGCAATTTATAGGAACCACCATGAGCAACTCTTCATCGTTCGTTCTTAAATTTTACACAAGTCTTGGCGTGTGTTACACTCGCTCCTTGAGAGCGAGAGTGGTTTTAACGATCGAGGTAGCGCGGGCACTGCATGGCACCCAAGCCTGGCACGCAGAGCGTGTTGACAACGCGTCGTCATGGTGATGGAGACCTCTGAGGTACTCATAGGGCATAGCTTCCCTGCTTGTATACTAGAGTCCAGCTGATGCAGGGTGATCAAACACACAGCCACCACACACTTCAACATATCTAAGCGGAGTGGTCATCGATGAGTATAACTTTTATAAAAAATTCTACTAGCGCGGAGGCGATTGTTAGAAGCAAACGAAGACGTAAATGGAGCTTAAGAATATATTAAGAATATGTCGGCGCTGAAGAGTAGGCCTGATGTGTCCTATAGCCGATTCTTGTACTTTTCGTGACTTCTTCACAAAAGATCTAAAATCGTGTCATTTGACCGGATCTTTTCAAGACTGACGATAGTTTGAAATAGCTACTAGACTTCTACCGGGTTCGATATGGTGCTATAGGCATTTTAAGTCTATACATATATTTTTTCATAGCTTTATCTAGTTAAGGATTACCTACGCTTATATCTTTAGCGACTTATTTTTTATTCAACCGCTGTAGAAAAAAATTGATAAATGATGAACAGAAGAGCATTCACATCAGAAGATGAGCCGGAATTATTGCTATTTAATATTAATGAATAACAATTAGTATAATTATATGTTTGTTAAACTAATAAGCTTTCCACTGTGACAAAGTAACACACCATTGCTTACACTGTAAAACAATAACAATGAAATATATTGATGTTTGCATGTCATTTACAAAAGTAACAAAAGCGGTGGTGGCAACGTGGCTTTCATGTCCCTCAATTCTGGAGCTTCTGCCTGGCAAATAATGGAATACATAAACATTCACTGAAATTACTACTCACCTAAACACATTTAAACATAACTGGTAATGGTAGGAAAAAAAAGTTTAAAATAATTACACATCTGATGTATTTTATCATATAGGTCATACGAAAAAATTGCTCGGGTATTTCCATTCAGCCACAGTCGTATTACAAGACCTCCCATCAGTAAGTGATTGCCTCGAAATAATTGGCATATGTTCTCAGAACCCTAAATTAAGTTTTAATTGCGTTGAAAAGAAATATTTCACCTTTCATGCACTTACTTTTTGCTAAATCGTTTACTAGGAGGTTGGATCTATGGAAAACAGCTTTACCAGAGCAATTTCTTTATTATTATTGGCGGCTTGACATTGTGGAAGTAGCCGGAGAAATTCGTTAGTCATGAAAAGTATTCATGTTACAACCTTAGTCAAGCAAGCGAATGAGGCCTGTCCATAAACGAAGCAAATGACATGTATTTCAGATTGAAAAATTAAGCTGGCATTTTTACAAGCGTACTTAGCTCTATTTGAAAGCAATAATCATACAACAGTTGGACAACAATGGGTAATTGCCACATTTAAAAGATTGGATTTTAATGTTTGAAACGTTCCTATTATCGAATTGAGGTCACAAGAAAACTTCAAGTGCTTCATTCTACACACGTATGTTTTCGCCAACCGCTATGCAATGCTGCATGTCCTGCAACTATTACTTAAATTAGTTCTTCAATAAATCTTAACAATTCATAATATTATTCATGAATAGTAACAGAATACCTCTGTAACCATTTGAATTACATATCATAAGTTATTTCATAGTATCTATTTTGCAAAAAATTTTCACTTTCGTTAAAAAAATATCAATCTCAGTGATGTGAGCAGAACTGCAGATATATTAAAAATTATGAAATCTTTATTTGAACACGAGCTTTTCCGGAATACTGGATAGTCGCCTTGCTGCCTGCTTTGTGTTAATTGCATCTGTATTGTAGAGAGTCAGCCGCGTTCCTCGAGTAAACACCTATAGTGTCTTACGTCCTTGATTGTGTAAAAGCTAACTTGCAAGTAATCGTTTAGAATTAATTACAAACAGGGCCTGGACTGTACTTCTATATATACCGCGAGTATATAAACCAAGGGTACGTCCGGCACTAAGAACCCGGCTGGCTTTCTCGCCCCTCCCCCCTCCTCTTCTCTTCACGAGAAGAGGCTGTAGGCAGGAGTAGGTTTGTGAGCCAGCCTAGGCCTGAATTTATTCATTATTTATTAATATTAATCTATCCAGTAACAATCATGTAACATGTTAAATATTATTCCTTTTCCTCAATAAATTTATTATTTTCTTTGTGCTATTAGCCCAGTCAGTCAGAATTCTTGTATTGCTAGGTTACCTACTCAGAAGAATTTAAACACAATACAGGCTCTCAGGCCCAACGGCCGTCCTCGAGGTCGACCTGTGGCTTTAAGTCTACCCAGTGTAGACACCCCGAAAAGAAGAAGAAGAAGAAGCATCTGTATTGTGCCTACTGATGTTACCTTCGCATGGGCATGAAGCTGATCCGACATCAATAGATTAACACATTGTTCGACCGATAATTATATCAGGGATATTGTGCCCAACATTGTGATGAGATTTATGAAAATTGTATGGATTGCAGCTCTAAAGTATAGGAGAACATTAGATATTGCTGTTAATTAAATAATACCTAACTAACTTTAAAGTTTAAACCATAGAGTTCGTTTTTATTTATTCCTAACGCAATACTAGGTAATTAGGTATACTGTGTCCTTGACACCGGTGTAAGGAGTATAAATCAGCTTCCTGGTGAGAAACTCTCTCTGCTAGTAGTAGTAGTACTAGGAGGTGGCAGGTGCTGCATGCATGACTGATGACATGAGTCATGACTGGTTATATTAATTCCTACCTTAACTTATAAGTTTAGAATTGCTGTTGCATAGTCGTATGATAGTCCATACTCCATAAAATTAGTCGCTGTAGCCGTGCTGCCCGTGCAAGCCGTGCATAGTGCCAAGTGGCACTGTGGCAGTGGCAATTTGGCAAACAAGAAATTTTTTTAACTATCAGATAATTTTAGGTATTCATTTTTATTTCCCTACAATTCTATCATAACTGTTTGCATTAATTATTGATCCAAATTCCAAACACAAGTATTAGGCAAAAGCCAGTTCAAGGCTTTAAGGTTCCTGCCACAAATTTTGTGGCAGGAACCTTGAAGCCTTGAAGTTGAACTGGACTGACTTTTGTCTAATTTTGTATTTTTTGCCTAATTTGTATTTGGTAGCACAAAATACAAATTCACAATTAATGAAATAAAAATGCCCATGCTCATGCCTATTGGCATTGCCTCTGGCCTCATGATTGCTAATTTGCCCAAGACAATTTAACTTGTTTCCATCATTGAATCAAACCAAATTCCTACTTCCTAGCATAATTTATTAGCAACAGAAAGAAAAACAGTACATTTTTTGATTTTTACTTGCATTTCTAATAATCACATGTGAAATGATAATTTTATTGAACTTTTTTTTATAACACTTCTCTTTAACTTCACTGGTATTATTGCAGATTAACTACATCCAAAAAAAAGGGTGTTTTTTTTTTAATTATATGTTTTTTGGGGTGTAGATTACGAATCTGATATCCATTTTTGGCGGTCGGCATCGGAAAACCGATTTTTTGCAATAATAGCCGGGAGGATGTCGGGAATGTAGTCCCAACATTGGCATGCAGGTTCGTACTGTTGACTCATACCCTACTTGCCGCAACCAGTCCAGACTCCAGTCATTCATTAGAAGGCACCAATGGCACATCTAGAGCCATGTTGCCTTCTTTAGTTTTGTAATTTGTGTCCGATTGAATTGTGATCTATGAATGAATATTCATAACTGTGCTGACTCTTAGAACCTGAGTTGACGCGTTAGCAATCTAGTTAACTCATATCCAACCACAACAAAATGCGGATACCTACACGTTTGTGTGTACGGTCAGTGCGATTGCGTAATTTGCGTTGCCTCGCGTCCATATTTAAACTATTTTAGCTTTCGAAAGTATGGCGCACGGCACATTTTTTTACCAGCATATTACGGCGCACCGCGCAGGTCGTTAAAATGACAAAATAAATTCCCGCGCACCTGGCACATCTTCCTGACCATGGTACAGTCTGCTACAAATCTTGTACGTAATCAAAATTTAATTCACTTCTACGTATCCTATCGATCTGAAATTTTGCACACTTGTGTAAAGTTGGAGACAATGCATGAATCAAATGTCAAAATAACTTATTTTAAAAATTAAAGATATTTTTTTTTCAAAATTAAAAAATTGAAAAAATAATTTTGTCAGCTACAAATCTTATAACTGATATTTGACACACTTGTACCTGTCTAATTGATCCGAAATTTTGCACACTTGTGTGAAGTCAGAGGCAATGCACGAATCAATTAACAGAATAAATAATTTTGAAAAGAAAATTTATATATTAAAAAAATTATATATATTAAAAAAATTGAAAAGTTAATTTTTTTAATTTTTGAAAATTAGATGAGAAATTCATTGTATATCTGTAAGATTAGAGATACTGGATTCTTTGGAAGTGCTGTCTTTAAAAAGTAATTTTTAAACGTATATTAATAATAATTTTATCCTCTATCCCTTAATCCTAATTGACTAGCCTATATCATAGTAACAAACCAGAGATTTTTTAGAATCAGTTCATTTTTAATTTCCTCATTTACCTAAGATTTAAACCTACCTATTTCTTATGCATGATAAGGCTGGTATCCAGGATTACTTTACTAATCTACTTATAGGACTCAAAAATGAACTTGAAGGAGAGTCTAAAAAAACTCTCTGCTTTGCCACTATGGCCTATATGGAATATTGGGCCATGGGCAAAATTTTCTTAAAATTTGAGTAAAAAAATAATCTTTTCATACCCAACTGGCCAGGGTGCAGAGGGTGCAAGCAGCATTGTCAATATATGCATTTATAGCCCAAAGGGTTGCCAGCTTTTTTCAAGATTTGTTGCTGGGTAATTTTAATAAGAAAATGCTGCTAACAATGTTGATAGTACAGCAATCCCTTGATTAGCACGGTTTTGAATACCACAGTTTTGATTAACGCGGAAAAAAAATTTGTGACCTACCCTTAATCTACGCGGTGCCAGTTTTGATTAGCGCAACTTTTTTTTCACAACGCATCATTTTCCCGCCTCTAGCCAGTGGTGTTACTTCGTAACAAAAGTGTTACTTTTTGCTTATTAGATCTTATGTTGTTACTTTTGTTATGACTTTTGGAAAAATTTGCCAAATGTTGTTACTTTATGAATTTCAGCCAATAATTCTTTAAATAAAGTCCCGTTCCGTAGGCACTCGTGCTGACTACAGAGTCGGTTTAACCGCGCCTTGTCTCGTTCATAACTCGAATGGTCGAGTTCGTCAACGTTTGCCGGTAAGTGCGCCATGCCGGTGCTCTAGTTACTCGTTAGCCTTCAACTGGTCAAGATCGCTGCCATATCTACTGCTCATTTTTATCAAACTACATAATTTTCCTTGATAAATTACCATCATAATTATGGACAAAAAGGGAACGCTTAAATGTAAAAATATCACTTTGGAGACTTAAGCTTGAAATTTAAAAAAAAAAATTATTTATTATTTAGAAAAAAATATGATGAATTTTAGTGGAAAAAAAATTATTATGTAACTTTGCTATTTTTGAGGATTCATTATAATTATTCCCATATATTCTTAAGTTTGATTAGCACGGTTTTGCTTAACACGGTAAAACTCGGGGATTTATTAACCGCGTTAATCAAGGGATTGCTGTATATCCCTTACTCTCTACACATGACAACATGTATAACTCAGCAGCTATCTGGCAGCCAGATGCGTGGTACCATCTATTGAGAGAGTGGCAAAGCCCGGACCACATAGTGGCAAACCAGAGATTTTTTAGAATCAGTTCATTTTTAATTTACTCATTTACGCAAGATTTAAACCAATTTCTTATGTATGATAATGCTGGTATCCGTGAACCATGATACTTTACTGGTCTACTTATAGGATTTGAAAATGAACTGGAGGGAGAGTCTAAAAAATTGTCTGCTTTGCCACTATGCTGGACTGCCAAGAGATGGCGCTGTGCTCATATCAACAAAGCTATTGTTGATATCTTTGTTACATTATATGATATTTCATATCAAATGGTGTCTAAGCAATGGTGTCTTAGCAACTGTTGCTTAGTTCTAGAATTGTTATTCTCATTATTCACTGCATCCGCCGCTTGCGTTCTTTCAGCTTTTCAACTATTTTCTAAATAGGTGGCTGTAGACTGGAGAATATCTAGAATGCAATAATTTCAATCCAAATGTGTTGGCAAGAAATTTTGAAGGCATAAATTTTGCTGCTGATGCGTTGCCAAAGATTTTGTGATATTCACCCACTTTCTGCACAGTGGCCAATTGGAAATTTCACTTCCATGAATCCAATGTGAAAAAATATAACTCAGTACTTACTGCAGTGAGTGACAGAGAGCGTATTTTCTCATCGACAAAAACTTGAGGTCACGGTCAGACAGACAGACAGACGGAGAGACAGACATGGCAAGCACAATAGTGCATTTTTTCCATAAATGAGAAAATGCGCTAAAAATGGGCAGAGGCCACCCACCAGTCAGACAATATGTTAAGTGGCAGTCTTTAATTCATTTTAAGGTATTGTTATTCATGGTTTAGTGTAAATGTACTATGACAAATTGGAATATAAACCTGTTGCCTTTAATGTGTATTACATTCCAATGAATTGTATGTTATTGGTACAGAGGCATCAAGTGTTGCAATACATTGTACATAGCTAGCAGCTTAGCTAATTCTTATAAGGCTATAAGTAGTCTTTAACTATTTGACTATTTGTTATATATTAATTACATTATACAATTACATGTGTTAGCTAGCTTATGTAAGAAGGGTTGGTTGAGAAACTTGAAATTGTATTAACCTTTTAGGCATTTAGAAAGGTTTTCACCCTAATATGAGTATTCTAATTAAAATATTTAATTTCAATCTTTAAATATGTGAATTAAAAACTAGAAACAAAACAATTACAATTATAAAACTATATATGAAATAAATAAATGTGGTGAATGGAAATAAAATGATTGAATTCTGTACATGTTTATTTCAAACAGTGTTAGCTTTTCTCATAACATAAGTCTCATTTCAAGTCATTTGAGGTTTGTTTGGTTGTCGTTCAGTTTATGTTTATTGTTTAGTATTGGTTAATTGGTATGAATCAAATAGGAACAGTGCAGTCAGTCACTCAGTCACTAGGTACTCATATTATTAAAGAGTAACCATCACAGAGATGCATCCAACAAGGGGCGGCATTAGCCACACAGCATAGAGCAGTTCACTAGACGCCTGCACGCCCTGCACTCGCATTTGTGCTCCGTGGCGCGACACGCTGTAGCGATAATTGATAGCAGCACAATGCTTCAGATATCTTGTTTATTCAAAGCATTGTTTGTTTATGAGAACGTTCAATGTTTTCGGCAATCGGGAATTTAAATATCAATATTTGGCTTCATTGCAATAGGCACTGTGCTATCAGCTACCTATCTGTTATGTGACTCTTCAATGTTTAGAAGATAAGCATTCCTGAAGTGTTGTTGTATATTGAAGCCAGTTAAATGGTCAATATTTAGTTCATTACCTTGCTCCATACAAACTTTATAAAGCTAATGAATAGACTTATCAATAATTGTTTACCCAAAAGTCCCAAAGTGGTAAACACCACCTTGGCCATTCTTGAAGGCAATAACTGCCCTTTTTAGCCATCCATATACTGTTATTGTTAGTAGGCTAATTGCAACATAAAAAATAACATTTCAAAGAGACAAAAAGCTGAAAAAAATAAAAAAATCATTAATTTTTTATTTTTTTTTAAATAAAAAAATCACCAACCCTGATTTAACAACTTGATTGACATTTCCTTGTTCTTTAAAATCATGGAAATGTCAATCAATCAAATGTCAAGGTTGACATGGAAATGTCAACCTTGTTCTTTAAAATCATGGATAGACATGGCCATACTGTGTTTAAACTACTACAAAAATGATATATACCTATTTTAGCAATCATTTAAATCTAATATGTGATGTTACTTTTTTCTTAAAACATGCATGTATTAATTTTGTCAACTCTTTTTTCAAAGAAGCAGCATGGCAATACCTAGGCTGTACAAATGGCTAACTCTTATATTTAAACGGTCCACATTCTGGACCTACTCTAATGGAAATAAACAATTGTAGTAACTTTTTATTTTATTGACATGATAATTTTTAAAATTTTTATGTCATTAAAGAAGAATACTTTCTACAATTATTTAAGTGAAAAACTTTTTGCATATGCCTCTAAGAAAATTGATAAAATTGCTGTTCCTTGTAAAAATACTGTATGACTTTGATTTAAAAAAAAGATTTTTATAAAAATTGTTTGTGGTAATATTCTGAATTGTCTTTTTTATATTCAGTTAAAATAGCAATCTTTGTAGAAAGATAAATGAAAAGAATATTCCTGGTTTGATTACAATTTAAGTATAATATCACTATTAAATCATCTTTCTACTTGAAAATTATTATTCAACTTGAATTTAGTGTTGGGAATCTTGTTGGTTATAGAAAGTAGGTAGTAATTTGAATAGATAATTCAATATGTACACTTTTACAGATGGGTCGTGTCTTCTTAGAGCACCTGGGTGGTGCTCGACTTTTCTCGTGTGCCAACTGCTACGCTTTTCTCACTAACCGCAAGCATCTGAAATCCGATCGCTTCACTGGTGCCACAGGGCCTGCTTTTCTCTTCGATAAAGTTGTAAATTTGACATACAGGTGAATAAACCATAAAACTAATATTACAAGAGGTCAAAGATTGCTTGTAATATATTTCTGTAAGAAATGTGAACCTGATTCTCAATTTTTAAAGAGAATTTAATGTGTTCCTCTTTCATAAAATGACAATCAGCCTTGATGATATGCAATTTGCTTGCTAGAATAGTACCGTAAAATGGGGTAACTTAGACCACTTTATTTTTTATAAATGATGCCATTTTTTTACGAGCTAAATTAAACTTGAATTGAAACATGCAAAATACAGGTCTATACTCTAGCTTCACTCACCATAAATTGCTGGCTCCTGAAAATGGGGGACGCCGCCCCATAATGAGGGAAATGTGACTACCTAATGGCAGCCCTGATGGGGTAATATTGACTGGCTTGGAAATTAAGTTGAAATTACCATATATAAGACTCTGTAGAGTCTGAAACATAAAGAAAAAACATAAATAGGCTGTAAAACATAAAATATGTTATATATGGTAATTTTGTATTAACTTCCAAGCCGGTCTATGTTACCCCGTCAGGGCTGACATTAGGTGGTCTAAGTTCCCCCATTTGGGGGCAGCGCCCCCCATTTGCAAACTATGACACTTTCCTAAAATTTATCATTTGCATATGTAACTAGAAGAGTTCTACTACAATGCATCAAAACCTGGAGTTATTTAATGAACAAATGAAAAAATTGGAGGGGGTACTCTGACAGGCTTTAAATAATAGCTTTTTTTCGTGGGTCACATTTTTAATTTTTTAACCTATTAGACATGCAAACTTTTCAAATCTTTCTATTCTGTTATGTAGCCTCAGTATTAGGCCTTTAATGCCCATTGACAAAATTTTTCTATGTCAAATAGTTTTTGAGTTGTGGGGGTTTTTGTTAAAAAAACGAAAAGTGGTCTAAGTTACCCCGCCGGTCTAAGTTACCCCATTTTACGGTACCTATATAGTTATCTTATTTTTGTGAAAAAGTTTGCCACTAATTTGAATTGCAACATGAATCAGATAAAAAATGAAATGATAAACTTGAAATTTTTGTTATTGGTACCTACTCAATGTATAGGTACATAATTGATGTTATTTTTTTACTGCTTATAAGTTTGCCAATTATGGCTAAATGATTGTTTGATAGGTATGTTTTTACTCTAAGTAATTAAATAAGAGCTTTGTTGATCAAAAACTATCATAAAAACCAGGAGATTTACTTTCAATATTATAATATTACTTTCAATATTTTAATATTACCTTCAATATTATAACATTTAACATTTGATATTTAATTATTATACTGTATGCATAATTTATTATACCTAATAATATTTTTATAAACTTTCCAGTGAGATGCAGGATCGGGAGATGTTAACAGGACACCATGTTGTACGTGATGTTTTCTGTAAGAACTGCGAGTCCATGCTGGGCTGGTTCTATGAGTTTGCTTCTGCTGAGAATCAGAGGTGAGTGCATGGCTTTGCCAGAAGGTCAGAAGTAATTCAATTGAAAACTTCCACTTCCTATTTTTATGAAATCCAGCTCAACCTTCTAACACAAGTTTGAGTTTCTCTAATGCAAGTTAGAAGGTGACTAGAAATTATTATGTAAAATAAGAGTAGCTATGTATTATTAGTATTACTTGTATTTATCAAATAATAAATATTAATATACGGTATTATTATACCACTAGACATGATTGATATCATGCAATTGGAGATAAAAGTAGCAGTAAAATTCAATATGATTACAACTTTGACAAGGCAATTATTTTGCCTGTTGTGGGTAGAATACATGCCATCTGATACGAGGCACTGTACTTACCTGTTGTAGGTACAAGGAGGGACATGTCATCCTGGAGAAGGCACTTGTGGTTGAGACTGAAGGGCTGCACAGCGAAACTGCCTGAGACTGCGCTACTCAAACTTTCGGTCTCACCAGCACCCACTCTTTGCTGCCATCATCTCCACCGTGGGCGACTTGAGCACGTCTCAAGGCTCTCTTCATTGTTATTGTGTGTGAAACTGCGCCTTGATTATTTACTCATTGATATTAATTAACCCACCGCTTGTTCTTTCAACTTGCGGATACATTTTGTGTATCAGTAAGTACCGGGTACCAATAGTTGTAGATAAATAATGTACTATTGAGAGAGAACACTAAATTTTAAAAAAATACCTCTAATTCTTGATGGATTCTTTTGTTGACCAAGTCTACCAACCAGCTTGAAGTCTTGCTTGATAAGCTCAACCTTTCTCTAGCTATATCTCTAGTTTTCAATTGAAACAACAAAGAAAAATGGAAGAAAAGTTCGTGTTTCTCGCCTTCATAATTTCTAATAAAAATATAGCATATTTTGGTTAGGAATAGATGGTACGCGGATCTTTGACCGCTTTCCTTATCTTATTTACTCTTCTTAGTTACTATAGATTGGCTTGATTATTTACTGATGTGATATATTATCAATTCCACTCTCTTAAGACCGTTAATCATATTGTCAACTACCCCTCACCGGTGCTGTTATAAGTTTGAACTCATAGTTTATTAGGAAATACAATTTAAGGCATGCTAATGTCACGACTCTTGAATGAAAAACTCGAGAAAAATAAATAATGCTAATCGAGAATGTTTCACAAAATATGATCAAGAATTGCTTTTCAAGCTGTAAACCTGGTGGCACTGTTCTGAAAAGAAAGTTCACAATGCAAAAACTTATTTCATGTTGAGATTACGTGCATATTTGTTATGGGCTGTGTAGGGTTAAGACTGTTAACTGTATTACACGGGCTTGTTTATGTATTAGTTTAAACTGCTATCTACATAGAAAAATTAGACTTGCATCCGTTAACGGTTAAAGCATTGATAATAGGTCGACTGGACCTTTCAACACGTCTTATTGTAATATTTAAAATGTTCAGGAATTATTCATTCAGTAATTTTGGCAAAAAATTCAGACTTTGATCGAGAAGCTTGCATGCACCTGCCAGTTTTTAGGTTCCGGTTCTTTTGTCCCTGCAATATTCGGAAATCAAAATGATTCCTCTTGCTTTTCTTCAAGTTAGTCTTCGGAGAAAATAAAATCGTTGGATACTATTATTGATCGCGCTGCCTCTTCTGTGGGTTTTCTCCAGCAGTTTCCTTTCTTATATTCTTCATTGTTTCAGCGCCGCAAGTCTAGTCACGAACTGAGAAACTTTACATCAACATAAGTAGGCAGTAATTTTCTTCATGCAAAATAATTGTTAAACAGTTATTAAGTCATCTAACTTGATAAATGTGATGCTTCCGCACTAGAATGGTGTTTTGGCAATAATGAATTGAGTTTGATTACAATGAAATAGGATTGTAAATTACAAAGGATGCCATTTTCTCAACTATGCAGATAAGCGATTGGATTAAAGTGACAGCGCTGTTCATGAGCATTATCGCTGCCGACGGTCGATTGGTCTATTATTACCTGGCAATTTATACCTGAACTTACAATCATTTTGGCTGTAGAGGATTAAGACTCCACCACTCAAAATTATTTTCAGCAGCGATGAATGGTATCCGGACATCGACCTTCTGTGTTAACAAGGCCATAACACATGTCAGTTGCGTATGTAAGATCCATAAAAAAAACTCTCGTTTGCCAGACCGTAAAGCTCGCTTCAATACAAATATTCTGTCAATCATAATTTCAATAAACCTTAGCATTTATATGTAGAAGTTGAACGCAATAAACTATATTTAATATTGTTTCGCCTCAAGCGTTTAATTGTGTAGAGCAAGAATATTCGTCATGCTCTGTACTAGTAAGTCAGCCACGTATTGTGAGACTGCTGATACCTAATCAGGCACGAGCTCTCCAATTGTTGCATTAATGTGTAACATTAATAGTTTTAAGTGATCCAGTCAATCTTTCGCATTTCCATATGTTGATCCAGATGGTTACAAATTCTGGATTTTTCTTTTCGATTCGATACTCCTACATACTAGCCAAAATGCATCTATCGAGGCTGAATTGATGATAGTATCTCATGGAATGAAATTTTTATCCTGACCATTAGAGAACAAAGTTTAAATTCATAATGTTCTAACTTCTAAATCAGGTGCAGGCAGAATAAATTCTTCAATTTTATTATTCTTTATGTAGTCACTTTCTCGAATGATTGATAAAATTAAAGAATGATGTGTGGACTCGAACAGATGAAATAAGTTTAAAGGGAATAAAGGTCGTGTGCCGATAGCAGCAGTTTATTTTAATCCCTTACAAGCTTCAAGTGTGTGGGAGATCTACCTATATACATACATATCCTTCTGTAGTGGAAGAGATGACGCCATTTCCATTTTTTCTGTGAGTACCGAATCTTTGGATAAGATCTTTTAATTTTATACGTCAGTTTCACTCTCGTCCAATGACAGACATTGGTAGTCTGTTTACTTTATCACACTCGGCCATGACATAGGAGCTTGAGTTAGAAAAAACTATGTTCAACCGACAATCGGCAGAATGAACATAACTCGTATGTTTATAAAGCTTTTAAGAACATGCTTTGGATTGCGAGGGCTATACATAATGTGTTATCGTTATCGATGTAAAATTATTCTATTTTTGTATTTATATTTACAACAAAGTTGAAATTTATTGGATAACTGAACCATAAAAATATTGAAGGAAATTGTCTCCGACAAAAGATGACTCAATAACAGAAAGGTACTGATGTGTCGAATGGAGCACAGTTCAGTCAAATAATTGTGTTGAAGTTAGTGGAGGCAACTGATGAAACTCTGTACCCTTGCAAGGTATAGTCATGTGGTGATCTTCAGAGCTTTGAGTTCTGTAAAAAATTACCTTAAAGAACAGTTCAAATCTTAGATGTATTTATAGATAGCATCTTCCTTTGTGGCTACGGTCTGTAGTTCGAGTTTGACAGGACACTTAAGCCAGTAGGAAAGAAGCTCCTCAGTGTAACCAATGAGGAAATACATCTTCCGAGGTTGGACCTTGCGCTGCACAAGTCCTGCTATGCGAATCATGTTGAATTGGCGCTTGATGATTACCTGGAAAAACAACATACTTGTAAAAAATCAGCCACTCTCACAAAACACAGCTGATTGTGCAAGACAAAATTCTTGAAAAGAACCGTGTGAGGAGAGAGCCTCGATGTATGCATCTTGTTAATATGGCGTGGAATATTAAGAGGCAAGTCTCAGCATAATACAATTACAACGTGATGAGCAAGTTAGTTAATGCTATATTAGGTTTAGAGGTGTAGCTTGTACAAAAATGTCTAAATAACTAGTTAGTATGCAATTTACTGCAACAGCTCAATACATTCTGATAAGGAAAATTACCAGACAATCGGGAAACAAGAAAAATTAGCCCTCATTTTTAAGAAGGTAGGTACTTCAATTAAAAAATAATTGGAAATAAAATAGACTTGCCTCTGAGACAAAAAGATCGTGCCAAGTGCCGGTTATGAATCTTCTGATGAAAATGTCATCAACTGCTGACTCTGACCGGCGTTTTCCATCTAATAAATTGCCTGCAAAAATAAGGTAAAAATTGTATAAAATACAGAATTACAAGCACAAGGGGATGATAATTGAAAAAAATACACAACCAAAAGGGGAACACTGAACTTGTATCAAAATTCAACAAGGGATGTACCAGGTGCATAAGGTTCAAGTGCTCTTATCCTTTTGAATGATTTGAATTTAGTTATCTTGCAGAAGTAGAAATTCATGAGAAAAGTTTTGACAATAATGTTGCAATAATAATTTAAGCGACTTTGAATATATTCCTTTCCAACCCATGGCTAGAACTTTCAACCATGTTTAGAGCCTCCTCAAGGTCCCCAGAAAATTGATTATATGTCTCCCATGTTATTGTCAATGAAAGTGCACTAGTAAGCAGTGAAATTCCAAATTTGTGGAAAATATGTCAGGTACCTAGCAGCAAAAAAATTTTTTTTTCAGGAAAAAATTTATGTACCTATAGAAAATCACTTACTTGTGTTCCAAGAGTTCCATGATTTTTCAGTGCCAATTCTGAAAGGTCCTTTTGCCATTTCATATGTGAGAGGTAAAGTTCTATTTCTTGTGGCTCTGTAACGGGCAGTCACAGCTTCATTCAAAGCTGCACAACAGTGGAGGCTCTGCATATCCATTGATTTCATTGTTGGAAGCCTGCATGATAGCAATGACTGGTTGCCTAACACAGATATATTCAACTTGAACAACTGCATGGGAAGTTTTAGAGCACATGTCATTTTGAAGCAGCTGCTAGGCAGTAGAATTTCCTGCCAAAATAGGAATGGAATTAAATAAAGTGAATGAAACAGAATACAGTTCAATTCTAATTTTTTTTTCTTAATAGGTAGTCTTTAATGGGCTACCTAGTTCTAGCCTAAAACTACAAAGTCATGCATTCTGGCATCAATTCCTTCAGCCATCAACTCTACATTGGAGCAGCACAATTTCAGAATGAAAGTAAGAAAATTCCAATGCAGTTTGCTCATTATCGTTGTACCATCATGATCATCATGCCACGTTGCATGTTACTGTTGTTTTAAAGCTCTTGATATTAAAAACATGATAATGTCCTGGGGTTGTTACTGAGGGCAAACTTAATTCATGGCTGATTGGAGGCTTTGTGGAAATTGGAATTATGCTAATTGTTGCATTCAGGGCTGATTAGTGCACAAATTTCAAGGTGTATGGCTGCGCTAAGGGCGGCTTCTGGCATGATGCAATGACGGATAGCCTGCACTCTCAGCACAGCAAGGGTGCAGAAAGTGGGTGAATATATGAACCAGGGTTGGCGATTTTTTTGATTTTTTTTTTAAAATAAAAAAAGTCAAAAATCAATGATTTTTTGATTTTTTCGTGATTTTTTTTATTTTTTTTCAGCTTTTTTGTATTTTTGAGGTGTTATTTTTTATGTTGCAATTAGCCTACTAACAGTAACAGTATATGGATCATAATGGATGGCTAAAAAGGGCACTTATTGCCTTCAATAATGGCCAACAGGCCAAGGTGGTGTTCACCACTTAGGGATTTTTGGGTGAACAATTATTGATAAGTCTATTCATTAGCTTTGTAAAGTTTGTATGGAGCAAGGTAATGAGCTAAATATTGACCATTTAACTGGCTTCAATATACCAAAAATACTTCAGGAATGCAGATCTCCTAAACATTGAAGAGTCACATAACAGATAGGTAGCTGATAGCACAGTGCACAGCACTATCAATAGATCTACTAGTTTTATGTCCTATAAATCTACCAGACTCTACCCTCTAAGTAATATTGTATCATAGTTACGTCATTATCCTGTATAGCTTGCTAAATTTGTGTTTAATTATCAAGCCTTAAATTTTCATCATGATTCGCTACAGCAAAGAAGAAAGAACAAAAATTATTGCTACAGTCAATAACGATGTCAATAACAGAAGTTCAACGTGATTACAGGATCCATTTCAAAACAAGGATCCTTCAAAAAACACATTTAAATATCTTTATCGAAAATTTGCGGATATCAAAAATTCGCACTCTCGTCAGAAACACTAATGAAGGTTATGAAAGCAACGAAGAGAAGAGCCCTATTTTGTCAAAACAATTGTGGTGGGCATTTAAAAGATATTATATTTAAAAACTAGGATACAATATTACCATAAAAATGTTCTTCTTTTAAATAAAACAAGTTTCAACTTCATAACGTTCTTAGTTTTTTATTTATTAACAAATTAAAAGGGTTACGGTACTAGCAAGAATCTTAGTAAAATGATATGAACAAGTCAAAGCTCGACATTTTCACAAGACATAATTTAAATTATTGCGAAGACCAACCTTCAAAATTATTGCCATTGGCGAATTTCGAAGTGGCTTGAATAAAGCTGTTCAGAGGTATATTTGTGGTAAAATGGTGCAATTACTGGAATATTAGTTAATGGCTAGCCCAACTTGTTAAGTTAGCAGAAGGAGGTTAAGGTGCACAAGTGCAATTAGTAGTTTAAGTTAAAGCTCGAAAGCCGGCAATACTGCCAAAGTAATGCGTCAAAGACGACTTTAAATTGTTGGGCCAAACCAAAGAGGTAACGTTGCATGCATTAAATGCCAAAAGGGCCCATGTCATGCATTAATTCAAGTTAATTAGTAAGAGATAGGATGATAATTGCACTCTAAAGTTGATATAGAAATCAACAGTCCAGAACACTGTTAGGTATCACCTATCGCTCACGCCTCCAAAATCCTTGTCTCTAATGGTTCCTAGCTATCTAGAAATCAACTTAAAACTATACTTATTCTACTAGGTCCCGCTCAATTAAAACGGAACATAATTTCTTATAACTGCACGCTACACCGAGTAGAGTAGTTCTGGTGTCTCTGAGCGTGTATGCTTGGGTGCTCAAATGTAGCTCTCACAGGCGCCGAAACTGCGTGCTACATTGCGTAGTTCAGGTGGCTATGAGCTCGTATGCTTGGGTGCGCAAATGTAGCTCTCACAGGCGCCGGAACTGCGCACTACATCGCGTCGTTCAGGTGGCTATGAGCTTGTATGCTTGGGTGCTCAAATGTAGCTCTCACAGGCGCCAGAACTGCAGTATGCTTGGGTGCTCAAATGTAGCTCTCACAGGCGCAGGAACTGCGCGATACATCGCGTAGTTCAGGTGGCTATGAGCTCGTTTGCTTGGGTGCTCAAATGTAGCTCTCACAGCCATTGGAACTACGCGCTACAACACATAGTTACGATCGTTGCGCGTAGATCAATACGACGCATTGGCCATATCGATCGTAAATCGCGATTTATTGAGAAGCATAATTGGCGACCGGCGTCCAGTGGCACCCACCTCGGCGTCTTTGGTGCATGAAATCAGCGTCCTCGACCTAGTTTGTGCCATGCTCTACAGTCTGGGGTGGTAGGGTTGGTATTTCAATACGTTTTCTTATATTGACATGAGAATGTATTACCTATACAGAATTCCACACTGGTGTCGGAATATACCGTGTTTACCCTAACTTTTCAGTCAGAATGCCTGGAAGGAATGACTGATTTTTTGAGTTACATTCCTACGTGAAATAAAATTTATTCAACAAGTATGTATGATAAGACAGGGCAGGAAAAGTCCTATTTTTGTCTGAAATATCGCAGCTCTAATATCATATAATTTCAGTAGGTATGAAATCTCGTGGCTCGAATGTCATAAATTTTTGTTTGATTGAAAAATCGCGGTTTGCACTTCGCAAACATGTCACTTTATAAAATTTTCAACTTCAGCAATCCGCATTGCTTTACCGTTCCCGCTAAAATATTCTGCAGAAAAAACATAAACATCGTAATGTAAACAAATCAACTAAACATTTTGCTGAAGATCGTGCATAGTTGCGGTCATGTCAAAGTGGTCAGACTGCATTAACATGTGCTCAACTTACAGTAAAGACAAATTTTATTGTTGCCATTTGACTGTTTTAGGGTAAAATTAGAGATTTGAGTAACCCGTGCATGGACTTTGTAAATAAATTTGCGCCTCGTAAATGGCTTTTCATGGCCAAGATATGGAATTCAAGGCTTGGTGAAATAGAATCACGGCTCGAAGAAATGTAATTACGGCTGGCAAATCCATAAAACCACGGCTCAAAAAATTCAGTCGCGGCTCACCAAGCAGATATATTCCATGCCTGTGATAAGAGAGATACTTTGAAGCCTCTCAATTTTAAAACATTGAAATCTGTGCAGAAACAAAGTTTTAATATTTTAGGCATATAATGACTCAAAACCTGACTTCAGTGAGTCAATTTACTTTGACATTCAAATTTTACTCCATTGAAGTGTTGTTGTTGTTGGGCCATTGGCTGACATGGCCTTGTTGATTATAAACATCTTGTTTATAATCAGTATGCTGGTAGATCTTTTGAAGGAGGTTAAAGGGCGTTGCAACTTGCACGTTGCACCCAGATCAGTATGAATCAATAACATGACCTAGTGATCCCGGGCCCTGGCGCTGAAGTGTAGGCCTGATGTGGCCTGTCGCCCATTCTTTTCCTTTTTGTGCCTTCAATCCAATCACAGAAGATCTAAAATCGTGTCATTTGACCGGATCTTTTCAAGACTGACGATAGTTTGAAATAGCTACTCAACTTCCACCGGGTTTGATTTGGTGCTAGCCTGCTAGGCATTTCAAATCTGAAGATATATTTTTCCATAGTCTGTTCTCGAACGCGTTCATACTTGGAGCCGAGCGCCAATGATGTTGATGTCATCGGGGAGGCTGTTCAACATGTTGGCAATTCGAAGCGAGAAGAAATGTTGGCACGTGGAGAAGTTGCAGCGGTTTTTTTAAATTTATAGCTGTGGCCCCTTGCAAATGGAATGGCAAAACTTTCTATGGAAATTTTGAACAAGTAGGATGAGGACCCAGAACTTTTACTTCTGCGCTAGTCTGGAAAAGTCCTATTTTTGTCTGAAATATCGCGGCTCTAATATCATATAATTTCAGTAGGTATGAAATCTCGCGGCTCAAATGTCATAAATTTTTGTTTGATTAAAAAATCGCGGTTTGCACTTCGCAAACATGTCATTTCATAAAATTTTCAACTTCCGCATTCACGGCTCGGTGAAATAGAATCACGGCTCGTAGAAATGGAATCACGGCTGGCAAATCCATAAAACCACGGCTCGAAAAATTCAGTCGCGGCTCTCCAAGTAGATATATTCCATACTAGCTTCTGTGGAATGTGACTGGGGATGAAACATAACTCAACCAGTAGTACAATTCCGAAACATGGTTCAAATTGAATGCCTCTGAATTTTACACAGATGGATCATGGACTTGATGGCTGGTTTTACCGTTCACAGAAATGTATGGACCTAGATAAAGCATATGTATGAAAATAAATCTTTCTTATGATGTGGATAATTTTTTTTACTTATTTTTGCACCAACTTTTTGTAGCCCCCTCGCACAGTTTTGCAGGTGCTGATAAGCTCGCAAATGAAGGTCCTGGAGGCTTCTGCCCACAGGTTTGAAGTGCAGTCTCTGGACAGCTTGCAGGCGCGGTAGGCTTGGCCAAGCCAACTCTTGCCATACTCTCAGGAGACTATAAGGTCGGCAAGGCGATTCCAAGTTTCTAATTAGTCGCTGACTTCGATCGGGTGGCCAAGCAGACCCGTAACTCTAGCCCAACTGTGAACTGTGGCGAGGAGGTCGGCTGCTGAGCTAAAGCATGCCCAAAATTTTGTTAAAGTAGCATCATGTTTTGATTGTTGGCTAGTATGGAATATATCTACTTGGC